CTCAGTGCGAGCTCTTTGGCAATCCTCTCGTGGGCCCGGCGCAAAACTTCATTGACTGCTGTGTCAAATTTGGAGGAGGCTTCTCTTGCGTCCCCTTCAATGGGACCGCAATCTGACGGAAAGAGATGTGCTTTTTTCTTTAAAATTCAGAAGTGATCTTCGTTGACACGTCCGCAGAGCAATGCTGTAACAGGCTGTGCAAAGCAAGTCCCGAATATTCGTGCTTAGGGTTTATGGAGATGCTTGAAGAGACTATGTCGTTGTACTGTCCTTGTGAATCGATGTTTGAAAATCCTTGTCAACAAAAAGTGACCGATGGCTAAGATTTCAACTTACTGCAACAGCCCCGGATGTTTCAGACACGGATACTCACTGACCGGAGCATTTAACTAGAAGAAGTTGAATTTGACTGCTGTTCATGGGAGGGATAGGAAGGAGAACTCGCTGCCGAGGGGGGCCATCGTTTTGAAAGTCAGGGCGTCCATAGTGACAGTCGATAGCGGCGTAGTATGCTATAGTATGTGACAGTGAAACTTAGAGATGATGAGAAATGTGGAAGCTTAGATTATCATGGGCTGAGTTTGCTGAAGAGCGTAAGTGGCGCCGCACGGCGCATCAATCCCGACTCCCGAGCCATCGGCTGCTTCAACAATTACCATATCAGGAATGCATCCCGCTCGTTGAGCACTACACGGCCAGTACCCACATATGGTGGACTGGCAGGACCCTCGGAGGCTTCAGAAACACTGGATTGCACAAGATTTTCACTAGTACATCCTTTGTGAGTGCTTCAGATTGGCCAACCGTTTAAACCGTGTACAAACGGTTTCCAAACTGTTTGCAGCCACAGGCCAACTAAATGGAAATAAAAATGGTTTAAACCGGGTATAAACGTTTATACACGGAAACTGTTGGAGCCTTATTATATAGTTGACTGCAAGTTCGCATTTGTGGCCCCGGCTTGGCGCAGCTCGGCTAGCCCAAAGCAGTAATCCTTAGCGCTCCATCGAAAGTTGGTTGAGAGCAAAAGAATTTCGCCAATGTCAAGCATTTCGGAAACAGCTGTATGCTTTTGGATAGTTGACCTCCGCCCGTCGATCTGTTGTCCCGCAACCATTCAACAAATTTTGTCCATGCTGGACGGTCAAGACTTTTCTGCAAGGACGAACGCGGTTGCAGCTGTTCGTTTGCTTTCCCAGCATGGTGAGTATGCTGTGGGACTTCATTAGCTGAGCCAGGAACAGAAGATCTCCGTTTGTCAATGGAGTCTTTGGCAATAATTTTCAAGACGCTCGATGACTCACGCAGTCCGCATCGTTGTCGATCTTGTTCGCTGTGGTAAGCCACGATTCTGTGAACTTTTAATTCGCTGACTTTGGGCCAGACGACCTCCGCACATTCATCTGCTCTCCCGAAAGCATTCAAAAAATCCTTTCGTTATTTGCAGAAAGCAATTTCTCTGTGAGATCTCAAGCATGCCACGCTATTGTCGCTTCCAAATATAGTTAGCATCCACATAGCTCCTGACTGATCTCGGTCAGGCGAATTCCCGGGGTCGAGGCGAATGCGACCATGTTTGAGGATGCACACGGGCGCGCACCATCGGTCCTGTGCACCATGGTGTCCCTCATGTCATGTCAAAGTAGTTAAAGACTCCACGGGCTTGGACGGGGACTGGAAATGGGAGATGCAACATCCGTCCAGAGAAGAAGAAGCTCTAAAGCGAAGACAGCTGCCCAGGAAGCTCTGAGTGGTGTCGCCAAACAGCTTGAAAATCTCGACACTGATGAGGTTCCACGCTGGGCCGGCTTCCTCCCACATGTGGGTATCTGCCAGATGAGCCCACACATTCTCCTGGCTGATCGAGAGTGCCTGGCCATTGAGAGTGCTTCCACCAAGGAGTTTCTAGTCGATGCATGAGACGTCAGCCTGTTGAGTTATACATTGAACGGACCTCGAATTGATCGAGTACAAGCTGCATGGCTGACAATAAGTTGTGTTCGCGGAATGGGACGAACAGAGCATCCGACGCAATCGGTGTCTCTACATAGCAATGAAATTTAAACACGAAAATCCCAGACAGAGTATAGCTCAATCTTACCGACTAAATTGGGCGCAACTTGGAAAGCGAGTGAGATCATAGCAGTGGCCTAATAAATTACACGCTCACCAGAATTGACGGTGATACTCTTCTCCGCGTAGTATTGGGCTGCTGAACGCATGAAATTGATGATCCCGGCTTTGGACGCAGCGTAGAGCGGCATCGCCCTCGATGGGAAGTAGCCGAACACCGAGGCAGTCAATATCAGCTTGCCGCGGAGCCCGGTAGGCCCGATCTCCTGCCGCTCAAACGTCTGGAGTGCAAGAGCGGTGGTGTAGAACTGCCCAGTCAGATTGATATCGGTGCTCGAGAGATCCGGTTGTCTTGATGCGGCCTTTGCCGGATCGGAGGGAGGGAGCCATGGGTGTTCGGCGATCCCGGCGTTGGTGAATACTGGAGCGTGAATATACGCAAAATATATGTATAGCCGAATGAGTAAAGCTGGAAATGTGGAATTGTTACGCAACGTAGTCGATCCGCTTAAAGGCGCTAGTGGCCTGCTGGAACCTCGCGAGCTCCTCTTCCCATATGGTGGCGTCGGTCTTGACCGATATGACAACACTGGTTCAGCCATGAGAACGGTTGGACTCATCGCTGTTCATATGAGACCTCTCACGCGCTGCCTGCCTTTTCGTTCAGCTACGTCGCAAGTTTAATTGCAGCTTCGCCATTTATGTCCGCGATAATGACGAATCCGCTGTGGAGAGAATAATAAAGGGGACTCCCACACAGAGTCAAGATCGGACCTCGCCCTTGGTCAACGAGCATCAAGGCGAGCGCATGCCCGATGCCTAGATTGAATGATATGGGATTCGGATTGCGTAATTCGCAGGGTGCATACCAGAAACACGACCCATGATGTACGAGACTTCTCCACTAGATGTCGCGGGCATATGAACTGTGTTGAGAGGAAGAAGAAGGAGGCAGGGAAGGGAGGGAGGGAACCGGATGCACCCGAACCTAAAAGCCATACGACAGGTCGCACGTACCTGACAGGGGGATAGCATGCTGGGTGCCCCACTAACCAGGGCCATCTGAGAGCTGTTGGTCGTTCCCCCTCATTCGGATACTTTTATGCTTTCGGTGGACTGCACCGTTGTCTCAATTGGACCGGTCCCCAAGCGCTGCCGGCACATTCATTCTGGAGAATTGCGCAAAAGCTTATAAGCAGAACAATGAGGAAAATAAGGATGGGAGATTGAATCGTGCGCCCGCACCCCAAGGACTTACACAATCTGTGTCCTAGGAAGCCAATGGTCATAAGACTTCTTGAGAAGGTTGCTCGCTTGAAAGTAGATCCCCGACGACGGTGGGAATCGAATCAGTCCACTTGGTGGGTTGAATAAATCCAGGTTCCGTCAATATATACCCCTTTCATATCGACCGCACGTCTCCAATTTTCCTCCACGATGTAGATGCAAGTTGGCGAAGAGTTATTCTCAGCCGGATATCACAGTCTATTTCCCGAGATCCGGGGTGCTTCTCTCCACATCCCGCTGAGCCACGAGTGGGTGCCGTTGGTGCAAAAAAAGAAAAAAAAGGGAACTCTGGCAGCCGTATTCGGGTGCGAGGAGTCGAACCCCGGCCTGCTGCGTCCACGGCTTTGTTGAAGCTAAGCATCGCAACGATGCACCGTACACCACACCCGAGTCCCCATCCTGTATGCGACGCGCTGTAAGTGAGGTCAATTCCATCGGTGGACAGAATAAATACCTGAGAAGAAGATAATGCGTAATGGGTATCGGGCTGGACCGCTCAACCACACATAAAGTATGAAGAAAAATCAGCATGTCGGGAGTGCGGAGTGGAACCCGACCTGCGGCTGCGGCTGTATGACTGTGGAAAAAAGATCGTAGCGGAAGCCGCACACCACACTCGAGTTGTACCGTTCTGTCGCGCGGCAAGTCTCACCCGAACCCGCTTTCAAACCGAGTTCAGGACGCATCATCAGCGGGGGACGGGTATGAAAAAAAGCTCTGCCTCATCTCACCATTTCGGGTGCGGGGACGGCTCGCTGCCTCCAACGTCCGGATTGAGGCAGTGAATCTATGCATCGCAGCGGTGCGCCGTACACCACACCCGAGTTCTTATCCAGTATGAGAACCTAAATACATGTGAGCTTGATTCTGCGGAAAGGTAGGAAGGAATGCATGCAAAAAGGGGAGCAAGAGTCGGTCGCGGGGAGGCGAACCCTGCAATTTTGCTGAAATTCAACTGCGATAAGCCTATGAAATGCAGCCGGGGATTTTACATCACACCCGAACTCTTACCTCGTATGCGAACATCTGTAAGTCAGCTCGATTTTTGAGAAAGTCTGAGACGGAATACATACCAAAAAACTGGAAGAAAGTGGGGCAATTTCGGGCGCGGGGAGTCGAACCCCGGCTAGCTGTTTTCGATGAGGTTTTAGTACTCAATACTCGCAGAAGTGCCCCATACACCACACCCGAATTCTTACCTGTATGCGAACCTAAATAGATCTCAGCTTGAGTCCGGGGAAAGTCAAGGAGGAATGCATACCAAAAAGTCATGGATCACTACCAATTTCGGGCGCGGGGAGTCGAACCCCGTCTTGCTGGTGAAATTTCTACTTCGATCATGGAATGCAGCTGTGCGTCGTACACCACACCCGAGGCGTTACCCTGTGTGCGAAAATAAATAGATGTCAGCTTGATTCTGGAGCAAGTCTGGAAGGGCAAACGGACCTTTCATAAACTGGGTTCGGGCGGCGAGTCTAGGTTTGACTAACGACCTTCAGAACGCATCGTTAACAAGGGACAAAAAAGAGGGTGCTTCTGAATCGGGCGTGGGGGTTCGACCCCGTCCGGCAGTCGACTTACGACTCTGTGGGCAGAAGAAGGAATGCGTAAAAAATGGGGCCACCTGACATCATTGCTATTTCGGGCGCGGGGAGTCGAACCCCGTCCTGCTGCTGAAAGCTCTTCCGGTGTCAACACCTGCAGCAATGCTTCCTACACCACACCCGAGTGTCTTTCAGTATACGTACCGGTCGAGATGCTTGCTAAAGCCTGCTGAGAATTCCAAGTGAGATGCGTTGGCAACGCCGCGTTGCGGACTGAAAGTAAAGCACAATATTGAAACCATGGGCCACCTCTGTGTGCGTCAATGCAGTTTCCCTCAGCTGATTTTTCGAGATTTAAAAGTGAAAGGAGCCCAACCCAGAGTTTTGACGCAGCAAGTTCGCGGGTGGCACGGGTAGGAATGGCTGTGAAGGCGGGGAGAGGCGGGGAGGGGGGACTTCTGACTCAAATTTCGGTCGGCCCCAAAGGAGATTCGAGAGCTGTCGATTGGCACGATGGAGCAGAGGAAAGCCGGATGAAAGCTGAGGAACATAAACGCAGAAAGCAAGGAAGAATAAGAAAGAGCGGTCTAGGCCCGGGCCGAGCGAGCCGATGACAGATTACTATCCACAACCCCAAGCAACCTGAAAAGGGAATTTTGATTTCGACTTGCATTCGACTCAGCCAACGACCGAGCCTCTATCGAGCTCTATCCCGCGATGCCACTACACGAAGCTGCTCTGCAAGTGTCGCGCTGCCAGGAACCTTGGTCGACCAAGGCCGACAAAGCTGCTACATCGGAGGGAGCAGTACGTCTTGACTTCTTGGCACTTGCTCCTTCGTATCTCACCTTCCTGCAGTACCAGAATCAAAACGAAGATGAACCTCTACGTCAAAATGCAGTCGTCTGCTCCTTCGCCCCTGAGGCCTCAGGAGGCCTGAGGAAGGAAGAAGGACCCGAATCCAGAGTCGACGGGTGACTTTCCATCGTGCGTACTCCCGTACTTGCCGCTGGATCTCGCCTCTTCAGGTTACCCGGCCTCGATACCCACTCTAGTCCACGGAGATGACGGCCTCGAAGATGCTGACGACGAGCTCGCCAAAACGACCGCCTCCATGCCCGTGCCAACTCTGTCAGCCACATGGCACCGATTTTAGCGCTCGACCTGGCGCACGGCGATTCTAGGTGTGCTCCTTTCACGTTTCTGTTCCCCGGCCCGCTGCGAAATGGCCCGCGTGCGCAACTAGACTGCGGGGCCTCCCTACTGTCGATGTATGTGTGCGTGGAGATGGACGTTATCTGCCCTTCCCCGTGCCATCTGGGATGTCCGCCAGTGATGCTGTGTGCCATCGCCCTTGCGAGATGCCTTCCGGGAGGGGACGTCGTCCCTTAAACGCGGACGGCGCCCGCAATCGGGCTCGTCTCCCGCCCGTTTCCTCCTCTTCTCTATTCTCTTCTTCCCCTCCATGCATTCCGCTAACTCCCCGCCCCACAGCACGCACGGTCCGTCGCGCGCACGTCTCCTCATTCTCGCCGACCTTGGATAGCCCGCAAGACGCCGCAGCCTTCGCACACTAGGACCACTGTCCAAGAAGGTGCACCCACCCTCCTCCCTCGACTTGCAGCAGCTAACGCGCTCCGCAGAGTCTCCGTGGTGGCTACGTGCGATTGGCTGTGCGCTTTGTCGGCGAGGCGGGCGTGCGTATGAGGTGTACCAAAGGAGATGGCAGACGCGTGGGTGTGGCGGAGGCCCGCGGCGCGAGTGGGGCTCCGGGACGCGCCTCGCTTCCTGTGTGCGGTGCTGCTGGGGGGCGGGTGGAGGTCGTTGCGCGGGGGAGGTCAGCAACGTCCTCCGTGCGGGAGACGGTGTGGGTCCATTGTCTGCGCGACTGGCCCCGCTTTCCGGCACGCGCGCAGCTCCTGTGGGCCTTGGCGCGACGGGCGATGTGGTTTCATGGGGGAGGCTCCGCGACCACTTCGATGGGTGGGCTCCGTGCGCGTCCTCCGTCCGGCGACGAGCGTTGTGTGTGGACATCGCGCGCCGGGTGGTGGGGGTTGGGGACGTGCCCCGTTTTCCAGTCCTGTGGGGCGCGTGAGTTGCGCGGAGGCGAGGGAGCTCGTCATCGTGCTCTGTGGGAGGCTGCGCGTCCTCTTTCTGTGACGCGGGGTGGCGTGCGCTGCGCGCGACATCGCGCAGGTGGCATTCGTTATTGCGGGATGTCTTGTGGCAGTGAGCCCACCCCGCGCGCTGCTTCTGGGGCGGGGACCTTGTGAGAGGGCCTGAGGGCCCGGGGATAGCGTGCGTTGCGAGGGGACGTGCTTCGTGTGGGACCTGGGGCCGTGAGCGGTCTTGTATGTGGCCACGCGGGAGGTGTGTGCTCGGAGCAGGAGTACATCGCCATGTCGCGCATGTGGGGTGGTGCTCGCCGTCCGTGGGCGCGTCGCTGAGAAGGGAGAGATGGAGGACGAACTCCCCTCCTTGTCCTCCTGTCGAATCCCCTCGCGACGCTCGTCGCATATGCCGACGAGGGACTGGGCGTACACGGGGACGTCGCGTGTCGCGCTCTACTCGCTCTTACGGCGAGACGGACGGGTGGTGGGGCTTGTGCTTCCGCGGGGAGATGGGCGCGGGTGGAAGGGACCGGCCGCGGCCGCGTGTTGTCGGTGGGGCGGATGCGCGAGATAGACACCTCCCTGCGGAGCCCGTCCCCGCTGACGCGAGAGTCGGCTGCCGGGCGTGCGTGGAGGGGACCCCGTCTGCGCCTACGATCCTTCTGTGCCTGCGCGAGAGCGGTCTCGGTGGCGGGGAGGGCTGAGTGGGCAGGAATCCGCCCTACTGCGGCCATGTTGATGGCTGCTCCGGGGCGGATGTACGGGGTCCTCGCCTTCTGCGTGTGGACGAGGGACGTGGATAGCGCCCGGTTGTGCGCGGGGAGGTCGTGATACCCTGTGTGGGATTTCTGCGCCAGCGGTGCTTCTCGCCGCCTCCGTAGCTGATCTTGTGAGGGGATACTGCAGCACCATCAGGCCTGCTCGTGGATGACGCGGTCGGTGGCCTTGCTGTCACCCTTGCCCTTCCACCGTTCTTTGCCCGCGTTAATCTCAATCCCTTCGCCCTTTCTTTCTTTTCTGCCCGCCCGCCCCGCTCCTACTTTGACCCATTCTTCTTGCCTCCGCATTCCCACTCTGGCGTCCATCGCCCCTTCTTCCGCGCACCATGTCATACGTCTGCTCCCTCTCCCCCTACTTGTTACGATATCTTCGCTCCCTCTTGCGCCTCGACGCTTCTTAGCCCGTCTCGTTCGTGGGCATGTCTATGCCGCGACGCGAGTGGGCGTATGCCGCCGCCCGCCGCGCTGTGGGGGATACCGTGCGCGATCAGAGCCAGCTCGCTAGATGACGCGGCTAGTGGCCTTGCCGTCCCCCTTCCACCGTTCTTTGCCCGCGTTAATCCTTTCGCCCTTCCTCATCCTCACCCTGGGCGTTCATCACCTCTTCTTTCGCGTACCGATACCTTATGTCTGCTCCCTCCCCCTCCTTGTTACGATATCCTCATTACCTCTTGCATCTCGACGCTCCGCCCACCACGCTCGTTCGTACGCTATAACCCCGAACGCCGCCGACATCCAAGCGCGCTCGAGCACCCCAGTGCATATACATACTCCCTGTGGCCGAGCGGACACCGTATGGTGGTCGTCGTGGAGGATTAGCCAATGCGTTTATAATAATTTGAGTACTTCCGGTCTGTACGCGCTAAAATAGTCATACAAATAGACGCCCGACTTCCTCGCTCCCACGGTCTCTGGCTCCCGCCACGACAATGGCCGCAGCTGCTGAGACGTTCTTCAGCATCCAGGAGCTCTGCGACCAATTCACCCACCACATCGCGCTCAACAGGTCCTCTCAGGATGACCTGAAATCCATCGCCCTCGTCTGCCACACACTCTGCAATTCCGCCCAATCTCAGATATTTCGCCACATCATCCTCGATACGCCTGAAGTCGCTCTTTCAAATGTGCACCGGCTATCCACCATCCTACGAAATGCACCCCAGCTTCTTCGATCCATTCATTCCATCAGCGTCCTCGCAACGTCTGCCATCTTGCGCCCACTATCGATGATACACTTCCCAGTTTTACGGAAGATTCGTTTCGATTTCGTCGTGACGCCATGGGAGGCTCTTTCCGATGAGCTACGCCTCGTCCGGGATTTCATCGGATTGCCTTCGATACGCGACGTGGAACTCGCCAGCCTGGGCAGGAAATCGGACCTCGATCAGTTGTCATTCCTATTGGATACCTGCACTCCGCATTTACAATCATTTACCGCAATAAAGTTCTTCCCCTTCTCTGATACTTCCACCGCCCCGGTACCTCCTCCCAGAGACCGGTGCACGATCACAAGGCTGAAGCTCGATTGTACACATGGCCTTGACGACTGGTTGGTTTCGCCGTCGTGTCCATTTGATATCACCCACCTGGTTGATGTTCAGATTGGAACCAGGAACCGCTCCGCCATGCCGCGGGTTCTCAGTGCTGCGCGCTTTAGCATAACCAAGCTCGCACTTCTCACTCGTAAATTGCCTGCGCCCACTGAGATTGTCGGATTCTCACTGATGCACGCCTCCTAGGTTCGGTCCTGGATATCAATCTTTCCGACTTCCCGGCCTTGATGTGCCTGGTACTACTAGTAGACCATTCGGCTCACCACGCAATTTCCAATATCCAACCCGACAATCGCGTCCAAAGACTGGTTTTGTACGTCTGGGTTGATGCATTTGACGGAGGCGGCCATTCCTATTCGTTTTCTGCACTCGATACTCTTGTCACTTCCCGAATGCCTGCCCTCCGACGGGTGAAGGTGCGGATTGTTGGCCGATTGGATAACGGCTCTAGCTTCCAAATGCAGTCAGTCAAATCCTATTTCCCCCACCTGGATGCCGCAGGCCTCCTCGTTGTGAGGGACGCCAGATGTGCGTATTCCATATCTATCGCATATCAATCCTTTCGATCTTGACATTTTTCTATAGACACTCCACCGCTAGGTTGAATCTGTAGTCGTAAATAGTTGTTACCCTGAAATGAAACTACTGTCCCAGCCGCGGTGATATTGGCGGGATCAAACCCAGAGCTCACGCCCTACCCTCTGATTTTACTCGCCCGTTCGCATCGTCGTTTGCGGGCAG